CGGTGAGTTTACTATTTTATACTACTTCTGTGATATTACTACTACTTCTACTTCCTGTTATCTTCTTCATCATCGTCTTTTTCACCAGTAGAAACAGCTGTTGTTGATCACGTGACTCCTATGAAGTGAAAAAAGTGTTTCCATTGCAGTTTTGCGAAAAAAAMCCAATTTCAATACGGCCCAAAAACGACCTCATCCTAGCGCAAAAACATTTTGTCGAAAAAMGTAATTTTTTTCGAAATTGACCTGTTTCCATTGAGCAAATTTATTTTCGAAATTCTAATTTGCGCATTTTCAAGGTCAATGGAAACGCAGCTACAGACTGTCACAGCCTGTAGGAAACACGTCCAAATGAAAAGCTTCCTTCTGGTTTCAGGTGATGATGAGCTGTCCAGCCCGTCCCAAGATGCATCTGGTCTGGAGGAAGTGATGGAACAGCTTAATAACACTTTTCCTCACAGCCAAGGTACAGAGCCCTGGCTTCAGTGGGCTTCAGCTTCCTGTCTTTATCTGCTACTGAGGCATCACAAACAGCTCTGCTAGCGTCTCCAGAACTGTAGAGTTCAGTACCCAGAAACCTGTTCGAGGAACAGAGCAGTCTATGTTTGATTGATATATATTTAATCTACATACACATTTTAAGTGGTCTCTACTGTCACATGTTGGCCTTAATGTTTTCTCTGTTCAAGTGTTAGCAGACCAGTTAGCTTCACTACATTTAGTTCTGCTAACTTTAGTCAAAGTAATATTTATCAAATAATGTCTAAAAGGTGTTTTCATTAACTCTACCATTTCTGCTGAAGAGAAAGTGTCCAAACATCAGCCAGGATTCTACCTGGGACTGAGGACTGTAATGTTAACATTGTGTGGTTTAGAGGAAACACACTCTACATTCTTGAAGTTGTAGGTTGTATAATCTATACCTCTGAGGAAGAATGGTTGTATGTTTAAAACAAAGCAACACTTTTAAGATACTTTACAATATCTGGAACCAAGGATGACTTTTTCCTTTTTTCTTCCTGTCTCTTTCTTCTATTCCTCTTTTCTTTTCTGTGAGCCAGGAGGGAGAAGGGGATATCCATGACAGGTTAGTGGCTCTGTCTCCCTCCATGTTCTCATCTTACTCACCTCCTTTAGAGCCTGTTTGCACTGCTGTCTAACTGCACCAGCACCACATAATCCTGTGGGGGCAGAGGGAAGTTATTTACTAGAACTTAACTTCTTCAAACATGAGACAAAAAGTACTTAGTTATAGTGTATTCAGTTGTGTACTGCTCAGGGGTGTAAGAAAATATCGATACACTGAAATATCGCGATATTTCATTTCCCGATACCGTATCGATATTCTAAAGCCCTGTATCGATTTTTTATTAAGGTTTAAAATGTCAACTTTCCTGCCAGCTGTTCATTTTTATGTTGTAGTTCAGCCTCTGACCACTGGTTGGCAGCAGTGAGTCAGCCATTTGGCTCCTCTACTCCTAAGGAGCCAGAGAGTAAGAGAGCATTAGCATTGTGAGTAAACATTAGCTTCATGCTCGATAGCTGAACCTGAGCGGAAAAGACCAACACCCTCAGCCTTCAAAGCTGAGGTAAGGTTACAAACAGTTACAGTATTTTTCGGACTATAAGCCGCACCCACCATTTTTTTTAAAAAACGCGCGAACATCAACATATAAGCCTCACGGACTATAAGCCCCACACCCCATCAGTAAAAACAAAAACAAAACAGTACACCCAAAATTGTGGTCAAAAAAGTGAATTCAACATCACATTTATTTTTAAGAAAAATGTTGGCAAGTTCACC